ATACTTGTGGGGGGACAAGTTCAAGCCCAGAGGAGCCCACCTGTAAGGTCCAATCTTGGTCCTGGTAAGTCACACATAAGTCTCCAACCCCAAGATAGACTGAATCAAAATAATGGGGCTGATGAGAGCAAGGTCAGGACCTGTATGGGGCAGGCCAATTTAGTGACATTGGGCTGTTCTCTTATTTTTAGGAATGAACAAGAAATTTCTAGTTATTTTGAAAAAAACATAACTGAATTAGGATCATAGTTTGGCTGTAAGAGTGATGCAAATACAGCGTTAGCTCCTGGAGGGTCAGATGTGGGTAGTATGGCTCCCTGGAACACCTGAAAAAGCAAACCATTTGGTCCTGAGATATCTAAGATATATGAAGGAGGGAGAGGGCAGGGGTGGGAAGGCAGGGGGTTGTGTGGCATCAGCTTCCAATTATTCAGACTGAGATCCTTCCCTGCTTTGTAGCAGTACAATTAAAAATGTATCAAATGAATCAACTAGAAGAGTTTGAGGGCTCAGGGGAATTTCCCCACACATTCTCCTGATACACATTCACATTTGAGATAGAACACATTTTCTAAAACTTAAATTCTCCTGTGCTTCAGGTAAAGAGGAAAATTTAAGGTACCTAGCTTCAGAAAGTATGCAACGTAGATTAGAAAATTTTAAATAATTGTTCACTAAATCAAATGAAGTAGCTTCTTGTAGTAAAGTGAAGACATCCCACCTTAAAAATCATGCTCAAAATATAAGCCATAGTCTCCCTTCACTCTTGAATTTTTACTTCTGTATTTTCAAAGCTATGCAGCAATGCACAGTGGTATAAGCGTAAGCTTACTTCTTAATTCAAGAGGTAGCAATGACAAAAATCAAATTTAAGCCGTTTGAAAGCAAATACAAACACAGGAGTAGGTTAAGATAAAGTCATAGTAGATCCCTATTATATTCTGTTCATCAGAAATCAAAATGATGTTTCTCTTAAGGTAAAAAACCATCCAATAAAACGGAGATGCTCAAAATAATGAAAAAAGATCCCCCAGCCATTTTAATAGCAATGTCTACTAAAAGTAAGAAAAACAGGAAACATGAAATGCAAACAGAAACATTGTCCTTTCCCACCTAAAAATCCATCCTCAGTATGAGCGTAAAGAAACCATGCAGTCCGCAGCACGGTGCTGACCAAGTGTTACTACTGTTGGTCTGATGACCCAGCTGCAACATTTGCTGTAGCTTCCTGCACTATGTCTGCTGCTTTTCCTTCCAGAGCAGCTGAAGAGAAATGAGATGCTTCTCTTCAGAGGTGTTAAAAAACTTGGGTTGTCTATGGGACAAATATAAGTCCGACACCTAAGATTAATAACCACAGTGCATCAGGCCAAAGGGAACTTTCACGACGTTGAAGCCAGCCAAACTCCCTCCCTGCTCACACGGTATTCAGTCACACAAGTGCCACGACCCAGCAGAGGTAACTTTTTTTTTTTATTAAAAAAAATTTTTAACGTTTATTTATTTTTGAGAAACAGAGTATGAGTGGGGGAGGGGCAGAGAGAGAGGGAGACAGAATCTGAAGCAGGCTCCAGGCTCTGAGCTGTCAGCACAGAGCACAATGTGACACGACACAGGGCTCAAACTCACGAGAGCTGTGAGATCAAGACCTGAGAGATCATGGCCTGAGCCAAAATCGGAGGCTGAACCAATTGAGCCACCCAGGAGCCCCTATTTTTTTCTTTTAATACTTTACCATTGGCCTACAGGGACTGCCCTAAATAAGACTTACAGAAAAAAAGGCTTGGGAGTATGCTTTTAATAAATTCTCTAGGGTCCTTCCTCTTAAATATTTAACAAGCTTCAGCATCTTCTTACTATGAAAACGACCAACTCAAGCCCAGGTTTACTGTGCTTTAAGAACTGACACCAAATGTGTTATTATTATAGATGTTTTCTTATTAGGCCTGATTTATGTGAACTGATAATCCTCATTTAAAATTCTCTGAGATACTCATTCATAAGATTCCTGGCATAAACACACCTCTAAGAATTCCAGTTCTGAAGGATATAATTAGCCAATTAAAATTTCCCTTCAGAAGGAAAAAAGCTGGATTGGCAAAGGTGGTTCTCTTGAGCAGGTAATACTGTACTTAGGCCACAGGTAAAAGCTGTGCAAGCATCTGTATGTCAGTATTTGGCTAAAAAGAGCAAAAAGCATATAGAATTGTTAAAATGAGCTACAAACAGAAACACTTCTGTGCATGCCAATTGGCCTCAGCTCGTATTCTCTGGATGTGTGCAGTTACCTATAAAATGGAAGATTCTGTGTGAGGAAGGGGTGGTCAGGGTCCCCCCCCCCAGATGTTTTTCTATTCCTAACACCTGCGGGCAGCAGATGCAGTAAACAAGCAGTTGTTTGTAATGCAAATTCAAGTAACAAGGATTCCTTGGGGCTACCCCCACCTTCAGTTCAAACACAAATGGTCACCCAGCTCCTGACACCCTAGATGAAAACTTATCACTGAGTTTGTCACTTACACAAACACTAAGTCCTGCTAAGAAGAGAGTTAAAGAGCAAGAAAGCAGAAGCGCCGTTAGGGTTGAATAAGAGAGGCTGCTTTCCGGTTAAGTGTTTTGGATCTCAGACACATTAAAAACAGCTGTTGGGTATTAAAAACCAAAGACTGCAACTGCCCCTAAAAAAAATAAAAATGGACATAGCCTTGTGGTTAAAACTGAAAAGTTTCTATAATTGTGTAAACTGCAGAATATGGCAAGAAAATGTGCCTAAAATAAATACAGCCTAAAACGTAACAGAACACACCAAAGCAGCAGGTAACAGGGTAAGGTAACTGTTTCCTGACCACACCCCTTTCCTCCAATCTACACCCACCAACATTTATTCTGGCCACAAATCTTTCCTAAACAATGAATGACTGTTCAATTCACTGACCTCAAAATTTTAATACATATACTAACAATAAATACCTTCTATCAGAATTTCAAAATTATTAGTATTGGCTGGAGGGTGCAGGGCGGCGGGGGGGGGGGGGGGGGGCGGGGGGGTGTCTGGAGAGACCTAAAGCACAAAATGCTGATTTAAAGAAAAGAAGCTTAATTTTCAATATGCTTGGGGATAATTTATTCATACCAGATTTTTATTATATTGACTTTTACTGATTATCATTTTGAAAGGAGAAGTAGCTGAATTAAAGAATAAATCCCACAAATACTTATTAAGCATTAATTGTGTTTACAGCTGAAAAGTGTAAAATTGTTTTAGGGGTTACCTTTTATTGTTACCAGTGCAGAGACTATAATTTAGATTTGTCAGAAAGATTATTTGTTGTTCTAAAAAGACTTTCAACAGAAATCTTCATTTATCCCTTATCTAAAACATATCCTCCTCCTCACCATTCAAAAAAACCCCAACAAATCAGCCCAACTATAAAAGAAGTATCTGATATGTTTGCATATTTAGTTCAACAAATATAAAGTTTCCTACAAATCTTAAAACTCAGAAGCATTTATTTGGGGTGGTCTCTAAATATTAAACTGTATTTCCTTAATTAGTTAATATACCTTTTAGGCAGGAGATTTATATACATCACACAGACATCTCTATCATTAAATATTTGAAAAGCCTTTTAAAATAAAATATGAAAACACTATTTCACATAACAACCATCACAAGTTTGCCAAGATCACCATTTTAGCTGCTATATAAAAATTAGGAGTATCCTATTCTCTACTTGAAAGTTCAAATTTTTTTGAAATTTATGGGAAAATAATCACATTAACTTCTATATCAGTGTCCATATATATTTCATATACCTATCACTCTAACAGTCGAAGACTACAAATAATCACACAAATACCCTTATTTGCTCACAATTGATTCCTCTCTCTGCTACTCTGATCAATCTTTGAGATCTCCGATTCTGTTTACTGAGGTATTAACTCCAGTACTTTCCCCAGATGTCTGTGATTTTTTCCCCACTTACTGGTAGCACCAGACTAGTAAGGCAAAGACCATAGGTTCCATTTTCACGATCCTGGATTTGTCTCCCTGGAGGAACAGACTGAAATCCTAATCCCCAAGACCCACACATACATGTTCTTTACTGGGAGTTCGCTGACAGAGGGAGAATAAGGCTGGAATAGGGTAAATATATTGGTGGATCAGTGAAAATCTATCACTACCACAGGAGGGACTATTCTCCCAGAGAACTCCATCACCAGCACTTTTCATATTCACATACTATACAAGTTATCCTTTAGATGTTTTCCTCCTATATAAATAAGGTTTTCACTTCCCAACAAAGAAAAATAGCATCAAATAATATATCTGAAATTCTTCAGTGTTAAACATTTGCATAATGCAGTTATAATGCCACTGCACTTTTTAGAACTTTAAAAGTTAAGTGAGCCACGAGATAAAAAGAACAATTTCCATTAGGATTATCTTCAAATGATACTTTCTCAACAACTGACAGTAAAAATACCTCATCACTACCCACCAGATTTTTTTTTTTAAAAAACATTGGGTAATACAATAAAATGAAACACTGTTTTAAAAGCTGAAGTAACATTCTAAATGTTCTGCTACAAATGAGCTAAAGTAGTTCTGATTCCAGATAGCTTATGGGCAGTGAAAACTATACAATACTTAGTTAACTGAAAAGTTAAATCAGTTTTCTCCTGTCATCAGCATAAAAAGCACAATACTCATAATATCATGAATTTGTTGACTTGACTTTACTAGATTTCATGATAACTGGAGATCTGTTATTTATTAATCTTAACCAAAAAGCCAAAAGCGACAATTCCAAGAGCAAGACATCAAAAGTAGTCCTCTTTCAAGGCAGCCATTCTTCACAGCAGGTCTTATTTAGTAATGACCAATCACATATAATGAAAGTACTTCTAAAGTGTTTTAAAAAACAAACATTTTGCTAAAATACAAATTAACTTCCACTTCTGAAAATAATTTGCAACATCAGCGTGTTGTTACTCACTGTTCTTGGGATGGGTGGAGAAAGAGATCCATTTGACATGTATGGGTCATTATTCATATTTGGCATCATTATGTACCCAGAATAACTTGAGTAGGAGGGTCCCTTGTTGTAGAGGCCTCCATCTGGATGCTTTCCTATGAGAATCCAAATAACAATCAATGATGCATTTATTTCCTTTTTATATCACTGTATTTTTCATCTGAAAATCTAATAGTTCTATGACAAATCAGACCTCATATAAAAGACTTGTTTACAAAATACTGTAACTGGATTAATATGCTCCATTTTAGATTGACAGTATTTATTCTCCTAAATGACTTAGCAGGGAAACAGATGTTTTAAAAACATGTGGTTCAATTTACTTCCACTACTGACGGGTGTTTTTACAAAAATAAGTGTTATTCATCTAACCTAATTTGTTCTAAAACTAACAAACTGGACCAAGAAATACAGGAGCAGGAAAAAACACTCACAAACCTGAAGCTGTATTATAAACATATTAGGCCATCTGGCTACACACACACACACACACACACACACACACACTTACACACCTGAAGTTATGCTCTACCTTATGGGCAAACTCAAAAATTCTACCTGTGCTTCTAGATTTCTAGAAAATGTCTAGATTTTACCGACAGAAAGAATTGTCTAGTACACGGGCAACTAATTGAATTTATAAAGGATTAACTCCAGGAGACTTAATTTTATGTACTACACCATTCTGCCAAAGACATTTGTGTGTGTTTAATATATACATTTCTTCTCTTTAATCTGTATAACTACTCTGCAGCTCAGAAGAAAGTCTGATATTATAGTTCTCTTCCTCTCTTCTCCTGGCTGACATATTATATGTATGAACACTTCATTCTGGTCAGGCCAATTGTAAGGAAAAGAGAACTGCAGACTATTTGAAATGAAAACCCTACGGATTATTTGATTATTTTAAGGTCACGGGGAACTCCCCTTAAATCTAATAAAATATATGCAATTTTTAAAATTTTGAGCAAGAATCAGAAACGGAGAGAAAGTCTAACATGTTCCATATACAAAGAGCCTAATTTTAAGAATAAAGTGTTCCATTTTTTACAAGTTAGATTCCATTTACTGAGCCATATTCCGTCCATGCATTCACTGCCTGCCTTGTCACTGTAACAAGAAACAGCAATTTTACAAAGGAAAATCCATTTGAAACTATTTCTTGTTGGAAAATAAATTGGTGTAGATTGTCACTCTATAACAATGCAGAACAAAAATACAAAAGATCCAAGCCAATAAGAACTTTGGCTAAAATAAGGAAAAGAGGAAAACTTATTATAGACATTTCCTCTTCCACATAGTCTGGAAGCCAACTCAAATCCAAAGGCCCCTTACTCATTCAAAGACAGTTTCAAAATTATGTAAATATACATTAGAAACAGGCAGTAGGTTTGCTGGATTTTTTTTCCCATTTTGTTAAAGTAGTGGGCAGTCACATCACACCTGATACTCCTATATTCACAAACTGCACGTGAGGTGATAAACTTGGAAGAAGTAAAATTAGTGCCTTACCGTCATCAGGGTGTTCTCTGGCCTTGTCGTGGTAGGGCTCCTGAGTGGGCTGTGCTTGTCTGGCCACCTAGCAGCAAGAGTCCCATGCCCCCCCAAAAAGAAAATCAACTTAAAGTTTGTGATAAGTGTGCATCCACTGGTAATTCAAAGGACCGGGTGCAAGTCAATCTACCCACTTTAGCAATCTAAAAGGGATAGGCTAGGGTTGAGAACTGGGAAACCTTTCGCTTTTTCTTTTCCACACATATTTTCAGTGATCATTATCTACCCAGGACTAGAAAGTACGAAAAATAATAAAAATAACAATATAGTAAATCTGGGAAAGGCCCACATGCTGCTCTGACTGCTGATTGCTACAATGCATCCAGGCTACTTGCATACCTAATGTGATAGGAGTCGGACTTAACGGGGTTCACCATTTTGATAGCTTCTCTAACCACAGTTCACTTCAATCAATGCTGATTAAAATCGGGTTGAAATATCATTTTACAACCTAAAGGACAGTTTAAATAGAAACTAGGCACTCACAGACGGAGGTCTTAAGGCAACTTGTCCCAAGCAAGTCCTCGCAGGAGCCCCACTCCTTATAAACCTACCACTGCTGGCTGAGTGCAAGAGGACAAGAAAAAAAGTGAACTATTTCTGTGGTTAAAGGGAGGAAAATTTGAGAGTCGGGTTATAAGCATCTAAAAGGTAGGCCAGCTAATATCAATTCTGGTAACCACCATCCACCCAGACTCAACCACGTGCAAATCAGTGGTATCAGCCCTTCACCATCTTCCCTGGTCTGCCCCATGCCCACTTACCACCACAGCAAAGATTAACAGAGCCCTAATCCCTGGGTTCTATGCTTCAAGCTGGAAAGCCCTTCTTCCCAGAGCGGAAACGGAAAATGTGAAGCGGGTGGCAAATGTATTCATGGAGTAAGTAAGTACAGGCAAAATGAGCAGGAAGAAAAAAAGAAGCTGTTCCACAAAGACTAGCGTGGCCTCTCAGTGTTTTTTTTGGATGTTATTTGGTTCCTTGGACGTCCGTCCTCCCGGTAATCTACTACCCCCAATACATAGTCACAAACCTTTTAAGTGGGGTCGGGTGTACTCTAGCCCCCCTCCCGACCCCCCTCAAATTGGCATGCTGGGATGAAAGATTCGAGGATAACAAACACCGTTGTGTTCTTGGAACCCAGGCCCCCAGCCTTCCAAATGCATACTCACCCCTGCCATTGGGATACAGAAGGTAACTCTGAAGAGTTCTTAAACGTGTTGTTTAAAATCAAAAATGTCCCCGCCCCCAAAACCACACGCTTTCTTTCTGGGGGCAGAAGGATGCCATTTAAGGGAAAAGGGTATATCCTCCAAGTTTCTTTGGAGGGAAAAAGCGTTGGTGAAATCATTTGAGTGTTAGGACTTTTCTACCGGATTTCCTCCAAAGCGTTTCCCAGTTGTTAACGGAGGGTGGCCAGGAGAGTGTCGAGTATCAGGGTCCATCCGCCCACCCCAGCCACCCCACCCACCGCACCCCCTTCCCCCTTCCGAAACTCTCCGCCGCCCGAAATAGCCTTTCCGCGCGGTCCCGCTGGCGGCTTTCCCTCGCCGGCACGCACGTGTCTCTATTTACTCTACTTGGGTTACCTGCGCTATCGCCCGCAGCGGGCCAGAAGATCAGATAAAGCGCTTTTCACCCTTCCCAGTGGGTGCCCTGGCTTCCGCCACATCTCGACTCTCTCTTTTTGGGGGGGGGGGCATTGATTTAAGGCCTGATCCAGGCCCAAACTTACCCCAAATATTAGCGCTTTTTTACTTTAAATGACCAGGGTTGGAGACAAGTAGTGTTGGCGGCGGCACCGGGAGGCTTCCCGCCCTGTGGTGGCCCGGCTCGGTGCGCCCTCGGCTCCCTGCGGCCGGCCCGGGCGCTGGGACCCCGGCGCGCGACCCCCTGGCTGGCCGGCTCCGCGCGAGCCCCGCTCCGCGGCGGTTGGGACCGCCCCGCCCGGCCTCGGCCCACGCCCGCCTCCCCTTCCTTTCTGACAGCGGCTCTGCTCGTCTCTGCCTAAGCCTTTGGTGGTTTAACGCACTTTTGCAGAGACATCTACCAAGAGAGGTAGCGGGTGCACTTTATTTTCCGTCCTACGGAAGAACTTCGCAGTGCTGTGCAGACATCCTCGCTGTAATGCATCGCACCCTCTCAACCCCACTAGAAAGCCCGCAGGCGAGACGTCAGGGGTTCAGGGCAGCTTCTGCCCACAAGCCAACAATCGAACTTGAGAGTTGACCCACCTGGAATAACCTTCCCGGCACACCCCTCCACCTCCCACCGACACCCTCACCCCCCACACACGAAGAAGGTTGGCCAGGAGGCCCATCCAGTCCCCCTCCCAACCCCCCGCCCCAGCAAACGAAGGACCTACTCCAGACCCCTCGGTCGAGGCCCCCAGAATCTGCTGCCCTCCTAATTTTACCCGGGACCCGGCGCGCCTCTCGGACCTGGGGTCGGCGGCCCGCTCACCTCGTGTCCGTTGCTGGCCGGGATGATTTCAGACTCGTTAACCAAAGAGGACTTGATGTCGGCTAAGTCGCCTTCCTCTTCGGGGTGACTGATCTCGGCGAAGATTTTCTCCTTCTGAGGGTCGCCCTCGTCCTTGAAGGGGATCATCTCGTCGGTGGCGCAGAGTTCCGGGTCTCCCCCGCCGCCGCCGCCGGCCCCGGAGAGTTGGGGCATCCCGACCGCTCTGGAATCTCCGCTCCGCCGGAGGAGCGCCCGAGGCGACAGCAGGAAAGACAGGGGCTCAGCGAAAGAGGAAGGAGAAAAAAGAGGTCTGGAAGGATGCGTGAGGGAGAAGAGCGGGCGGAAATGGGGCCGGCAGCCCGCGGCCGGAGCAGCGGCAGCGGTACCCGAGCCCCGGCGGCCGCCCGCGCCTTCCCGCTCCGCGGAGCCCGGCGCCTGCGCCCGCCCTCGAGGCCGAAGGGCACCCGACTGCCCGGGGCCGCTGCAGCCCGTGCCTCCGGGGGCGTCTGCGCCGCGCGGCGCGCGCTAGGCTAGGCTGCCCCGGCGGCCACCCCACGCGCCCAGCGTCTCCAGGGTCTGCGCGCCAAGGAGGCCGGTTCCGGCGGAGGCACGACTCTCCCAAGTGCAGAGGAGGGTCCGTCGGCGCGTCTGTACGCAGATCTCTCCACCCTAGCTTCCCTGGTTGCCAATTTGGGAGTTTGTTTTCCGAGAAAGGAGGCAAGCTGGGCAAAAAGGCTCCGTTTGCCTCAGCAGAGAAGGTGCAAGGAGAATCAGAAGATAACGAAAAGTCCACTTCCTGGAGGATAAAAAAAAAAATTAAAGAGCCGCCCGGGTTGGAGATGTCCGTTTTAGAGCTTCTTATTTCCTTCCCTTTCGCTTCGGTTTTCCTTCCCCGGGCGCATTTAATCTGCTGGAGGAGGAGGAGGTGGAGGAGGAGGAAAAGGAGGAGAAGGTGGGGGAGGAGGGAAGAGAAAGAGAAGAAGTTTGCCAAGAATAAAGTTTGTGCGGGCGAGCTCTGGGAGTCGGCGGTGAAGGGTACGGCGGGGTCTCGGGGAGTCACAGCAGGGGCCTCGGACCCATATGTTTCTGCGTGGAGCTCGAGCCGACACACACACAGCCCGACCCCTCTTTGTTCCCGGCTCGAGTTTCTCAGTCTGGCGCTCTCGCTCGCCGCTCTCCACGCCTCCGCCGGGCCGCTCTGTCAAAGCAATGAGCTGCACCCTTCGGGTTCGCCTGGCCGAGGGGAGGAGGGGGGGTGCCCTGAGCTTGGCCGCGTTCGAGGTTCCGGGCGCGTCCGGGCTCCTCGGACCGAGAGGGCTCAACCCCGGTCCCTCCTCCGCACCCTGCCCCGCAGGTGAGCGGCTGCGCCTCCCCAATGCTTCTCCTCCTCCCGCGCCTGGCTGGCGCTGAAAAGCTACCCACTTGCGTCGCTTCTCCTCCCCCTCCCCTCCCCCGCCTCCAGCTCTCCTTGGCCGCCCGCTGGGAGGGGGGGTGGCGAGGAGGTGGTGATTGAGGACTTTTTTTTTTCTTTTCCCAGAGCCTGTAGGACGAGTCTTAGTGGGTGTGTGTGTGTGTGTGTGTGTGTGTGTGTGTGTGCGCGCGCGCGCGCGCGCGCCTAGAGGAAAGAATCAGGCAACTTGCTGAGAGAAGGAAGGACCCAGCGCTTCCTGTAACCCACGAAGAAGCACCCTTTGCCCCTGTGAAATTGACAAGAAACTCTGCTGGGAAGGTTTAACTTCAACATCTAAGTATCCCTTCTCTTGTCCTACACTCCCCAACCCCCGACCTTCCTCTGCTAGTCTCTCTCCCCACCCTCTTCCCGCCTCCCTCTCTCTTCCACCCTCCCTTTGGCAGGGCTACGAAGATGAAAGAGAAGCCGCCGCAGCTGTGATCGACACCACATTGATAGATGCTCTGACAGAGCGGATGAGGCGGGAATTGGGGACAGAGAGAAGGAAAAGGAGAAAATATAACAGACATTGCTCAACTAAGAACGGAAACAAGAAGGACAAGAAAGAACTGTGGCTTTCCAAAAATGCAATGTCAAAGGACAACGCATGATAGCAAAAATTAAATCTCCAGGCTTACCGAGAAAAATAGGACACAGAAGAAAAAAAACCTGAGGACTGTATCGTAATTAACGCCTTTTGAAACAAGATCTATTTCAGTACATCCTCACCATGGGATGTCCAGAGAAAGTTCTGCGAGGTTTCTCGTGGAATTTAGGAGGTACACGCCACAGTGCATGGGAACCAAATAGAGAATGAAAAAACAACCCAAGGAGGCAGAGAGAAGGCGAAAGGACCCAGGAGTGCCGTGCCAGTAGAGGGAGGGAGGACCGGGCAGTCTCTGACACCTCAGACTGTTCACTCAAAGAGACCCTTGAAGATGCAAATCCGAATCCAACCTCAAAAATTCCCCAACCTCTACCATCTCTTTGATGCATTTTGTACAAGGACAGGACTTTTAAGGAGATGCTTTGTGAAAGTTACAGTATAAGCGAAGCTGAAGTTTGAAAACATGTTACATTTTGTTCCTTGGCTCTCAAACCCCCTCAGTTAAAAATCCAGGCAAAATTATTATACCCAATACACTAGCCATGTGTAAAACCTCAGAACAGTAAACAAGAGGCAGAGAGAAATGTGTCTCCATCTACCTTAAATTGAAAATAAGGAAAACACTACAGAATCAGACTTTAGCTCTATTTTATAGGAACAGTCATGCAAAGATCCCTCTTTTTCCCGGGGGGGGGGGGAATTGCATGCTGCTGTACGTTATATAAGTAAAGACCTTAACAGTGCTCTAAATGAGCACTTAAAACTTTGCCTACTGCTAACTACTTCCTAGGGATGGGAATTTACTAGGAAGCAGTTTTTAAAAACTATGATTTAAAGGGTTCAGTTGGTCACACACGGCACGGTCAGTTGTCACACATATTCTATCCAGGGGGGGATTGAGGCATAATTAAGGGGCTGGTGATGAGAGCCAGGAAGAGTAAAATATTAAGTACACTTTAAATGCTGAAAATTTAAAGCCTTAGAGAAGAAAAACAAAAAGAATATTCTGCTGTTACAATGTTCCTGTAAGATAATACTGAAAAGATTGGGAAGAAACCCATTTTTAAAATGGTGGCAGTAGTCAACTTCTCTTGAAGTTTGCACCACTGCGAGTGTGAAGTACTAGGGATGTGAACATGGAGCTATGCTAGACATTAATACCCTCTGTTCTAAAAGAAATATGGGAAAGCAAAGCCAAAAGTTCTCCCACAAATGTGCCAGTTTGGCTGATAGGAAAAGAACTGGGAAATGCAGTTTCACTAAAGTAGCTATAGCAGAGGTTCCTTAGCTTCAAAATGTTGAGGAGGGGGGAGGGGCCACGGAATGGCCACAGGATATTTTCTGGAAGCCAAAAAGATACTAAATGACAACTCCCACATCTCCCTGTTTAAGTGTTACTAATTCGAATCCTATTTTCTCCTTCCTGTTAATTATCTGGACTACGGAGTCATTTGGAGATCACGTTCAGGTGTCCTGGGGATTAGAAACTCGAAAAGATGGGGATTTGGGGAATAATAACTAATGGGAACTGTTTACTAGAAGGGCCGAGGGTAGGTGGCTGTGTTTGATACTTTTCGGTAACCCTCTCCTATGGAAACATTGTTTCTAACGAAATCACCCAGCGCTTTGCTCTGTTTCTGTGGCTGTTTGTCCTCCCCGTGGCGTGCGGGTGTTGACTGATTGTCCCTAGCATTGTTGCAGATCTTGAGACGGGCTGTACTTGAGGGGGGCTTTACTAGGAAATACTCGCCCAAGTTTATTTAAAGCTTTGTCAGAGGAGCTCCACGTCAAGTCTGTCTTTCCTGCGGCGAGGTGAATGGGGTTGGAAAGCAGGGGCACTCAGGGAGGAGTGAAGTACCCTGGCAAGAAATTCCTTCTCCTCTAACAGGTTCGGCGGTGTTCCAGGCAAAGGCATTTCTGTCGCCGGGAGGTCTTTTCTAATTCGTGTGGGGGCTGCTATTACATACGCAAGCCGCTGCTTTGGGTGCACGGTCCGGGATGTGGTGGGTGCGGCGCGGGAGAAACGCCGCCGCCCGCCGCCCCCTTCCCTCGGATGTAGAGGCGGGTTGTTCTTGTGAACTCGAGCGAACGGCTAGAGGTTGGCTGCTGCAGGTTCACTCCTTCAGGATGTGGGTTTCAGGGGGCGTTTTGATGTGATTTAATTCCGACCGTGAAACAATTGCTAGGGGCTGGCTGGATTGCTGTTGGTTTTTCCCCTCTTGGTGGCTTTGGTTGGTTTGGGTTTAGTTTGGGAGCGAACAGTGACTTGTTTTATATCAACACTTCCCTCGGTGCCGGGCGCCGTAGCCGGCGCTGCGCGTGGGGTACGAGGCGCCCACCCAGGGCCGGAACCGAGGGGGGCGGGGAGCCGAGACGCGCCTCGCAGTCCGCAGGGTACACGCGGCCCAGCCCCCCGCGGTGCGGCCTGGGGAACTAGAGTGACCCCCCCCCACTCCCACCAGAGACACCCCTCCCCCCGGCGATTTTGCTGCCAAGTCGACTCATCTACAGACACTCAAGTGAGTCCTTAATTACAGGGAGGAGAGAAAAGCGCGGTGCCCTTCAGAGCCCTCTCCGCCCCCTCGGTCCTAACCCCCCGCCCAGACTCCGGGTCTTCCCCTTTGTGTGGCCTGGACTCCCTCCCAGCTACAACTTTGGTGGGATCCCAAAGGAAGGAGATGGCGGGGGCCTACGGAAGAGGATGCTCGAGGGGAGACCAATGCCGGCGGAGAACTAGGAAAACGAAAAACAGGACTCCAGAGACGGACGGAACTCCGGCACCCTCGATTTCCCACCCCAGCCTCGCCAGGAGACCAAAGCTGTGGGCACCTTCAGTTTAACGGACCTCGCGGGGGCGGGGGGCTCGAGGTGAAGGGCAGTTTGGATCCCAGGGGTTCTTCCGCCTCTTCTGGCCTCCCCTTCCCGCCGGGGTCACTACTTCTGGGACCGTGAAAAAGTCGTCCCCAAATTCGGCCGCCCGTGGACGCCGCGCTTTCGCCGGGCCCGCGACGGGGTGGCAGCCGCAGCCGCGCACAGCCTCGTGGGATCGGCCCGCGGAGCGCCCCGCGGCCGCCTGCGCGTGCAGCCCCCGGGGGGCTTCTCCCGCGCTCGCGCGGGTGCGGGCAGAGCTCGGCGTCCGCAGCTCGCTGGATGCGGGGCGGAGGCGCGCCCGTCCAGAGGCCCGAGTCCTCCCGAGGCCACATCCCGGCCTCCTATCTGGGACCAGCCGGCCCTCTGCCGACCGAGAAGCGAGGGCTCCCACCCCGGGGCCGCCCAGAGCGAGAGGAGTCCAGCTGGGGTGATCGCGGACAGGAACCAGGGGACGGACGAGGGGCGGGTTCGGAGGAGC